GAGAGAGCACATGCATCATACGGGGCACACCGACTATGGCACAACTAACACCCTCTGTCCCACTCCGATAGGCCGTACTATCCTCAGCATCATAATTGCTGGTCCCCTGTCATTATTGGGTACCACAACACAGTTCCACTGCCCCTTCCACACCTGCACAGAGATCACTGCTGTCTACACACTCAGATCTATCACCCTCTCCAACAGAGGACACGGACCCTGAGGAGGGGCAGATTGTGGATGACCCAAGCATCTAATAATTGGAGATGCCACCCAATGATAACTCGTCTTCTGCACTTAACGAAGCGGTTATCCCAAAGGATTCCTTACCTAGTGATGACCTAAAACTGTTTCAAGATCTATTCAAAAGGGTTTCTGTCAGTCAGGAGGTTGTGCTATCAGAAGTACTGGAAAAACAGCATAAGCTTTTAGAGAACCTCCAGCCTTCCTCAAAATCCAAAATTGTACTTCCTTGGGATAAAACGATATTGGAAGCAGCAGATAAAGTGTGGCAAACACCAGCCACAGCCCTCCTAACTAACAAAAGAGCTGATAGAAAATACTTTTTTCCATCAAAAGGCATAGACGTTTTATTCTTGCACCCTCAACCCAACTCTTTAGTGGTTGATGCTGCAAATGAAAAGTATAAAACCCTCAATACAAAACAAATATGCAATACAAAGACCATAGTTGCCTGGACTTGTTTGGGAGGAAAATATACTCCTCCTCAACCCTTCAGCCACGCATATCTAATTACCCAGCCCTACTTGCAAATCACGACTTTGAAAACTATGTGAAACTAACAGAACTCATGCACCTCCCAGATAAGAGGCCGATCTTGAAAGCCATCATCAAGGAGGGGTTTACCATATCTCACACAGCCCTACATATGGCTCTCAACACAGCAGACACCGTGGCAAAAGCTACGGTGACATCCATAGTAATGATATGCTCATCCTGGCTTCAAGCAGCTGGAATCCCTAAGGATCTCCAAGCCAAGGGAGAAGACCTACCATTTGACAAGGATAAATTATTTGCCACCAAGACTGACGAGGCCTTGCATTCTAGTAAAGACTCAACACACCATCTTGTATACCCTAGGGATGTACACTCCCCCTTACTGAAGGAAGCGTTATACGCCCTACTAGAGACACAAGGACACAACCTTTGGCAGACAGCATCAACATTGACCGTTTGACCAAAGTCGCTTCTGACCACAAAACCAACGGCAAAAGCCCCAGCCCCATGCTCTTCCATGGCTCAGGCTTCTAGGCAGCACGTTTGAAAATTTGGTGGAGGGCCTGCCCCGACCCCTCCTCCACACTAGTGCCAGGTGAGTCCAACATCTTCCACCACTGCTAACGCCCTTTCAACAACCAGTGGGTAGCAGTCACCAGGGATGGGTGGGTTTTAGAAATTATCAGCTGTGGGTATGCTGTCCCTTTCACATTGATTCCCCCAACCTTTCTACCCACATTCTCCCTTTTCAGGAACTCATCTCATGGAACGCTGCTCTGCCAAGACCCCTGTCTAACCCCTTTCTCAACATAGGAGCTGTAGAATGGGTACCCAAACAATACCAAGGGAGAGGATTTTACTCAAACTACTCTCTCGCCGAAAAGAAAACCAGGGGTTGGAGGCCTGTCTTGGACCTCCGCCAGCTGAACAGATACCTCTGCAAGTAGTGCTCCAAAATGGCTACACTCGCCACGATTAACCCAATGCTAGGCAAAGGAGACTGGCTTGCAACCCTCGACCTCCAGAATGCATCCTTTCGTATCACAATGCATCCTGTGCACAGACGTTTTCTACGCTTTACAATAGGATCAGACTATTTCCAATAGAGAGTCCTCCCTTCATATTCTCCTCTGCCCCCAGAGTCTTTTCCAAGACCTTGTCTGTTGCAGTGGCGCATCTTCGACAAAAAGGCATCACAATCTTTCCTTATTTGGACAATTGTTCATTCAGGGCCCCTCTCAACAGGCCACGATGGATATGATCAGATTCACAAAGGCTTTCCTACAGTCTCTATGCCCCACAAAATCCTGGTGTTTATAGGGACTCACGTAGTTTCCATGACAGCATGTGTCTACCTTCCAAGTCAACACTTCCAGACCATAAAAAAACCTGGCTTCAGTCATGACTACCAGCCCAACCTTTCCCATTTTAATCAGTCTCAAACTCATGGGTCATATGGCAGCTGCCACATATGTTGTTCCACATGCCTGGCTATGCATTCGATGCTTCCAACACTGGATTGCCTCTGTGTATACTCCAACCAAACTCCACATCCACAGACACGTCTTGCCTCCCCCAAAATCCTTGTTACAATGATGGACCCAGGTGCACTATCTCTGCAGCGGGGTATCCTTCCATCAAGACCAACTAGCCAAACAAATCACTATGAATGCCTTACTTCTAGGCTGGAACTCCCACTTCCAGCAAGAATTTGCGCAAGGGAAGTGGTCCAATGAGTCCAGGCTCCATATCAACCTGCTCAAACTTTGAGTCCAGCAAGAATTTGCGCAAGGGAAGTGGTCCAACGAGTCCAGGCTCCATATCAACCTGCTCGAACTTTTAACAGGACGCAACGCGTGCAGACACTTCCTTTCATTTATTCAGGGCTTCACAATGCGTAATCTCACCGACAGGATGACCATGATGTTGTACATCAACCACCAAGGGGGAGCCAGGTCACCATCCCTACGCACAGAGGCGATTCGGCTCTGGAATTGGTGTATCCACCACGACATAGCCATCATGGTGTCATACCTACCTGGGAACAAGAATACCATGGCCAATACCCTCAGCCTCTACTTTGTCACAGACCATGAATGGTAACTGCACAGTCAGGTCACCCACGACCTATTCCAGCAGTGGGGTTGACTACAGATAGACCACTTTGCAATCAGCCAAAATTCCAAATGCCTCCAATGCTTTTGAGAGCGAGCATAGGGCCCAACTCATTGGGGAATGCTATGCTCTTCTAATGGAATATTCACCTGTTATACACCTTTTCCTTTTATCCCTCTGATGCCCAGAGTCCTACGGAAGATTCAGATAGACGGGGCCCATGTAATTCTGATCGCCCCAGCTTGGCCTTGGCAGGCAGATCTGGTTTCCATGTCTCTATCAACTGTCTCACCAACCTCCCTACCCCCTTCCGATGAGATCCTCCATCCCAGCCTCAAACACTGCACCTGAGGGCATGTTACCTATCTGGTTTTTGGAAGCAGAGCAACAGTGCTCACAACAAGTAAAAACTGTACTACTTCATCGCAGAAGACAAACTACACATAATACTTACCCATACAAATGGCAACAATTTAAGGCATGGTGCACTCAGAAGGGAGTCCAACCATCCACGGTTACACTTCACTTGATCCTGGAATAGATCATGCACCAGAAACAACAAAATGTATTACTTTCATCACTCCTAGTTCACCTGACTGCGATCACAGCCTTTCACCCTCTAATAGAAGGGTTCTCCATATTTGCCCAGCCCATTTCTAAAAGTTTTTGAAAGGGTCTGCAGAACCTTCATCCACCATGTAGACCCTTACCTCCAATGTGGGATTTAGAACAACTTCATCACTTACCTTCTCACCATGAAAACGCTGTTCCTGCTGGCAATCGCGTCTGCAAGGAGAGTTAGTGAACTCGCGACTCTCTTGGCCTCACCTTCATATGCCACCTTTCAGAAACACAATATTATTTTATGACTCCATCCCTCCTTCTTACCCAAAGGGTGAGTAACTTTTCTTTCTAAACCCTAAAGGTGAAAGTTGAAGTATATTACTTGAGGCACTTCAAACATCAGTCTTCATAAATTCTTTGTTTATAAAAGCTACATTAGAGCATTTTTACAACTGAAGGAAGCTGTTTGATTTTGGAGGATGGAAGTGCCTTGTGTGGTTAGTCTAACTGATATATTTGGGTTTTCTGTTTCTGTCTTATTTATTTGTTCACTTCACTTGTTAAAAGCACTTGATTATTTTTTGCCTCTGAAGGAAGATCTTGGTTTAATAGGGAAAACATTTGACATAAGTGACCAATTAAGTGTTCTGCTGCTTAGATAAAAAGGGACACATCTTTTGTAGTCTATTACCATTTGTGTTGTGTCTGTGTGGTTAGTGCACATGCTAGGGCCACTGGAATACTCTGCTAGTGAATGTTTTCTACAAATTGAGGGAAACTTGAGATATGTTCCAAGTAATATATACACAAATAAATGTGTGTCAATATTATAAATGCATCTGTTGAATATCTTAAAGTATGGCAAAAGTGGTTTCATTGTGAGCAAATGTTATTATGGTATGTGTCATTCAATTTTAAATGAAATTACTATTTTTTTAAGTTTAATTCATTAATTTAACTTGTTTTTTTAAGACCTTGTTTATCTAAATGATTCTCCATCCATCCATTATTGGCTATTTTGTTCAGTTGATTCTCAAGCAGTTTAACACCAACTTGTCCTATACCTTATGTTGTTAAAAGGGGATATGATTTTTTTTGTCCAGATTTCTATTTTCTGTCTGTTTTATTAAAAATACCTGCCAGTTGTTGCCAAGAAATATTCTGTGATTTTTGAGGATACCAAAACAGTTTTGTGAGCACTTCCTGGCTATGCAACGGCTGTTAGCTAACCAGTTCCCAAAGCGATGTTGATGTCAGTAAAGCAGATTCTAAATTTAACAAGAGCATGTAAATTTGAGCTGCAGAATGGTAAGAGGACAGGAAAATAAACAATATTAGGCCCTAAGAATGGGCAAAATTGTAAGGGAGGAAAAACACCTATTTTCAAGCTTCTAAGAAGTCATATTAATTTTACAAGACTAATTTAATGTTTTCAGGGAGTAATGTTTCCATATAAAGTAATTAGCAATGTTGTCTTAGAATAATTTGAATTGAATTCCCATGTCAGTGAGCCATCTAGCAATTACTGACCTTTTTCCTCAAGGTGAAAGTAATGAATTCCTGTTGTGTGTGTTCATCTTTAGGAGCAGGGAACCATCGCTATTTCATGGGATATCTGTTCTTTTTACTTTTTATGATCTGTTGGATGATTTATGGCTGTATTTCTTGTGAGTAAATTTTTTCTTAATTGCTTTTATGTACACTATTTCATTTATGAGTGTTTGCTAAGTGAATGCAACTTATGTTTTGATACCTTTTTTGTATTGGAATTAAGGTATGATTTTGTAACTGCCCACATTAGGTGTTCTAGAATAGAAGAATACCTATTTATTATAGAAAAATATCGGATTTAGAATGCTGTACAGTTCTTGTTACTATTATCCCATGCCCTTCGTTAAATTATTATCATCTCTGTGAGTTTAAATTATAGCTAGTTAGAAAAGGGGGAAATTGTGAATGTTTTTGTAAATTATTTCCATATTTATAAAAATTGCATTTTGTCATTGTTATGAACAATTCAACTTGAAATACTACATTATTATGCAGAATAAAGTCTGATGTGAGATTTTTTTTATAATTTTTATATCTTCCAGATTGGGGAATCCATTGTGAGACTACTTACACAAAGGATGGATTGTGGACCTACATTACACAAATTGCCACCTGCTCACCTTGGATGTTTTGGATGTTTCTAAATAGTGTGTTTCATTTCATGTGGGTAGCTGTGTTACTCATGTGTCAGATGTATCAGGTATGAAAATGCACTTTGTGTTGCTTCTTATAGTCAGCCCTGAATATTAAAAGTAAATATGCATTCCTGTTACATCAGATATTCTTTTTTTAGTTTACTTAACTTTGTTATGAAACATGTTGCAGTGATTACAGAAACAAGGTTTGCAGAGAGACTAGAAAGCTGATTGTGCAGTCAGTCTTATGGGATTGCCTTCTTTAAAACAAGGAGAAGATGTGGGATAGTCTTATTGGGAGCTTAAAGAGTTTAAAGGTCTTCGTATATCTATACAAAGGATTGTTTTAAAAAGAGTGAAATGGGTCAGAAGTTTCCTCTGTTCATTAGCTTCCTTGACAGCCTTACAGATGAACATAATTTAAGTAGGGCAGACATGGCATTAGATTAGAAGGCTTTGTTCAGGCACTTTTGGCTGATTTTTCTTGGTTGGAAACCTTGTGTAATATTTTCAAAAGTGTCCAACTACCATTTTTAAGAGCAATTTAGGCACTCAGGCCCCTAAGTCCCATTCACTTTCAAAGAGATTTAGGGTATGTCTACACTTGTACTTGATTGACAAAACTTTTGTCGTTCATGGGTGCTTAAAAAACTGCGCTCATTGGATGTGGAAATATTGGCAAAAGTGCCTACAAATAGCATTCACACATGGTCACTTTTCGCAGCAAGACTGTGTTGACACAACCTTGTTGCTAAACACTGCATGGTGTAGACAGACCTTGAGCCTTCTAAGTCACAATTCAAAATGGGACTTAGGCTCCTTAGAGGTCATTTCAGTACTTTTGAAAAGTTTACCCCTAGTATGGGAAACCCTGTAGCCAATTCTTAGTCCTTCTCAGGGCATGTCTACACTAGGAAATTATTTTGAAATAAGGTATTTTGAAATAACTGTTTTGAAATAAGCATTATTCCTCATGACAAGTAGGAGTTAGTTTCAGAATAACCAGCCTGTTATATCGAAATAACAGGGTTGATAGTGTGGACGCTCCACTTGTTATTTCGAAATAAGGGGAGTTATTTCGAAATAAGGGGAGTTATTTCGAAATAAGGGGAGTTATTTCGAAATAGCAGCAATGGAGCGTCCACACTACTGCTATTTTGAAATAACTGTTTTGAAATAAGCATTATTCCTCATGACAAGTAGGAGTTAGTTTCAGAATAACCAGCCTGTTATATCGAAATAACAGGGTTGATAGTGTGGACGCTCCACTTGTTATTTCGAAATAAGGGGAGTTATTTCGAAACAACTCCCTAGTGTAGACCAGGATTAAATGTCACTCAGAGATGTAAATGCTCATACTCTTTTACCTTTACTTTAATGACACTCCTAGTGCTTAGTAGAACAGTCATCAGAAACTCAAGATTGCATGGCACAGCTCTATAGAAGGGTGTGATTTATAAAGCACTGGTCTAATTGCCCCACACAGATCCTGCTGGCATGCGATATGTCATTTGCATCTGCATAGTCCTGTCTCAAAAAGTCAGTGCAATGGTTTATATATTAACAGTGATTTTTATTGTAAATGACTTTAGCAGAAACTCCCAGCTGAATCGACTCCCACTGGGCTCCTCCCATGTGCTGAAATCCCTAACTGTTCCATGTCAAATTTTCAGCTTTTCTGAATCGACTCCCACTGGGCTCCTCCCAGGTGCTGAAATCCCCAACTGTTCCATGTCAAATGTTCAGCTTTCTCCTCTTACCACTTTTTCCATGCAGTATTTTGTCCTACAAAAACCTATGGCACATGGAAAATATAGAGCAGTAAAATAAATTTAGTTTGATACCAAAATAAAGTATAAATGTAATACTGTGCCATTTGTATCGTTCAATTCCAGCTTAATTTAGTAAAAACATTCAACGTTGGTGTAGCAGAAGCTGCTACTGAACTTTCAGTTTGTCTTATTGGAGCACACACATGTAAAGGGCTCTGCTACAGAAATTGCATTTGGCTTGCAGCACAGTGTACAGTACCTAACCCTAGATTGGGGTGGGCAAGATGAAGCCAGTGGGCTGAATCTGGCCCATCAGGTGTCTGGATCTGGCCCATGGCCACCTCGCCAGGACTCTTACTACAGAGCAGCTCAGCTGCTTTAAACAGCTTCTGCTCTCTGCTCTGGATGCTGGAGAGTTTCTGGCCAATAGGAGCTGATAAACGTTGCTGGAGGCAGGGCCGGTGTACAAAGTCTCCTCCCTGTGGCTGGGAGCCCTGCTGTGGGAGTCTGGTTGAGTCAGTGGCAAGGCAGACAGAATGCCAGCGGGGAAGTGTAGCGGGAGTCCCGGTGGCAGGACTGCGGGCTGGTGGGGCAGGGAGCACTAGCAGCTGAGCAGTGGTTTGCCACGGTGAAGCAAAGAGCCCCAGGAGCAGGACCATGGACTGCCATGGCAGGGCAGCAGGGCTGGTCACACGTGGGAATCCCGCCAGGAGCCCATGCCAGGAGCAGAGCCGGGCTGGGGGAGCCAATGGCTAGAGGGCAGAAATGACCTCCCCTGGTCTGGAAAAATCCCTCCTTTGGGACCACTCAAGTCCTGAGGGTGCTGGACCAGGGAGGTCCAACCTGTACTTTACTTTTTTTATCCTAAGAATAAAGAACAGTCTTATCACAAGTATTTATACAAGGGGTTAATTACCACTTCAGTCTTTCTAGTTGTATCAGAAATAAGATCCATACTCCAAACTTTGAAGTAAACCATCAGGCATCTCAGCTTTTTCCTTCTCTTCTGTAACAATGATTTAGAGCAGCCACCATATAGATTCCAAGTTTATACTTGTGCACCAGGGTCACCACGCTACCTTCCAGTGGGATTTCATGTTCAAAAAAAATGAGCCAGGGTGACCACCTCTATTCAATGTAGTTTCCAAACCAAAATAAAGAATTAGAAAACTAAAGCAATACGAACATGCAGCTTTCCAGTGTGCCTTCCAATCTCCAACTACCCTGGGATCTATACATAAGTTCCGTTAGGCTGGTAGATATGTTTTCAATTTCTATGGAACCTGGAACAACACTTTCCTCGTGGCATGTTGTGAAATGCTTTGCACCCTTAACTGTGATGAAGGCAAAATTATAATTGTAGTATTCAATGCAGTTTCAAAGGCAGATAACATTCCATGTAGGAAATATGAAAAATGTCATGCAATAACTATTAAATCTATCCAAATCATTATTTATATTATTGTGTGTAGCAAGATATAAGTTAATTTAAAAGGTCTTGCCAAAATCTATTCTTAGAGAGCCTAATCCAGCTTTTTTCTTGGCGCTCTGTTCTCTGCTTTTTAACTCCACAGCCCCTCTCTTGATTCCTGTCTTTGAAAGCAAAGTTGTCTTATCCCTTAACTAACCATTCTTATAGGTTCACTCTTGCCTGTCATTGTTTGCGTGTCTATCCTATCTTCCAGATTGCTTCCTTACTCCATAGCGAATATTAAAGTGTCCTAAAGTTAAATTCATAATTAAGTAGCTTGATTTTTCAGAAGTGATTAGGAGTACTCAGAAGTTCCCATTCATATTTGAAATCAGATCTCTTTTTGCAGAACCTGGCAATAGGTGCCCAACTATAGGGTCTTATTTTTTTGAAATTATGTCCTCTTTCTTTAGATGGCTGTCTGTTAAAAGGGCAAACTTTCAATATATTCAGAAAAGGCAAGTAAATTGGAGTGTAATTTCCTGAATGCTCAGGATTATCAGCCATCCTGTAACATGGTGCTCGGTTACCATTTGACACCAAGAATTCTGAAGTTTTAGCTTATGATAGTACCCAGTTGTTAAGGGAGTTGTAATACTTTTGTTTACAGCCTTATACACACTATAGTATGCTGGCATGCTCCGCGGCTTTGCTCCCCGTCTCCCTGGTCTGCTGGAGACCAGCAGACCAGGGAGACGCGGAGCAAAGACGCGGAGGACCCGGGCGGCGGGACATGCGTCTGGGCGGTCCCACCGCCCGGGTCCTCCGCGGCTTTGGTCC